TGCCTTGAAATCAAAAGTCTGTAAAAATGATCTTGTGCGGAATGCTCTCATTAGTATGAGATTAAATCATATCGAATTTGCTAATGTCTGTTTGCAGGTATTGCAAATGCCAGATTCAAATGTTGATCGCAAGAGAGGTTTTTCTGCATATGAAGATGTTCTGACAACGAAAGGTAATAGTTTGTTACCTGCAAATACTGAAGCAGTAATAAAAAGTATTGACTTCATGAGGGGTAGGTCTGTTCTGAATACTAATTTGAGTCTTTTTTCAGACTATATTCTTCGACGTCTTGAGTTTGGTATTCAAGTAAATACCATATATTATAAGGACTTCTCAAAATCATTCGACAAGGTTGATCATGACGTTCTACTAGCGAAGAAGGAAACTCTGGGTTTTTCATGATTTTGCTTTCTTGGGTTAAGAGTTACCTTACTGATCGTTATCAGTAAGAGTGGAATATGAATTTTCAGATGTATTTTTGGCTACTTCGGGAGAACCTCAGGGTTCTAATCTTGGTCCCCTACTTTTCTTACTGTTTATAAATGATATTACTACTGCAATTAAATTCAGATTTTTTCTCTTGTTTGCTGATGTCCTCAAAATATTTAAATCTATCACTTCTAAAGTACTATACGTTTTACTTAGTACTCTGTACGAATGGGATTTGCCCGTATGTTTTCAAATAAATAAGTAAATAAAACAATTTTGAGCAATAGTTGTATTTTATAAATAATTATGTTTGTTGATATTCTTTTAATCGATTATCGGAAGAGTAATAAATGAAACACTATTTCATTAGATGTGCAACGTTTCGGTGTATTCATTTGACATCATCATCAGGCCACTATATTAAACAATGAACATTTTTTAAAAATAATTATTAATTTACAAACACTGACATCTCGTACGGATGACAAAACAAGACTAAAATCTAAAGGAGACAATTTTGCACTTCATATAAACAGCACGTGTGGAGTCAATGGACTCAAATCAAAACAATCGAAATGAAATCATTTTGCTTCCTCATAGAGGAAGGATTGTATTAGCAAAATTTTCGATTGTGATTTTTTGACATATTTATAAATTTTTTTTCGTTATACCTAATCTTTTAGTACTTTATGTACGAATGGGCACTGCCCGTATAAATGTTCTAAATAAATAAAAAAAAATTTCGACATATTTTGACCTCCGAAGTCCAAAAAACGGATTTTAAAAATTTGTCCCGATGTGTGTGTGTGTGTGTGTGTGTACTAACATTACATTCGCCTCAATATCTCAGAACGAGAAAGAGCTAAAGGCCTCAATTTTTTTTTAAATTGTAGGTCTCCCCGGGGCACAGTGGTGCAAATCTGCAAATTGAGTTTCAAAAAGGTCTACAGGCCTTATTTTTTAACCGATTTTATTAATTTTTTTTAAATGAAAGCTTACAAAATTGCAAAGAGCTTTGTCGAGCCTGATTTTGAAATTTTTATTTGTTTATATTAATTTGTTTATTGCAAAGTTAACCAAAAGGAAGAATTTTTCAAATAATTTGTTCTCCCATTTATAAAATCAAATATTTAATATTCAAAACTAGTGAAAATTAATGTTAGTGTACTCCTTGAATAAAACAAAAATTAAACAGGTGAAATTTTTAAAATTATAAACAAATTAAGTTAACAAACATTGACAGCTATAACAAATTATAAAAAAAGACAATATCTTTAATGGATTTTGATAAAATTCGTTACTCAGGGGTTTTTGGGGTCGCTGATTACGAGTCGGATGTTCGTTTTTAAAAATTCAAAATGGCGGATCCTATTGGATCCGCCATTTTGCGGACGTCAATGTTAAAAATTCATCAGATTTACTTAAAAATCGTTACTAGGGGGTTTTTTAGGTCGCTGATTACAAATTAGATGTTAGTTTTTTAACATTTTAAATAGCGGACGTCAAAAATACAAATTTATCTGATTTACTTCAAAATCATTACTCCGGAGTTCCTACTTACCAAGGCTAATGATGATTAATTTTTTGGTGTTTGAAACAATGTTTTTGCTCTGAAAAGGGCAGATTGAATGCTGATTTTTTGTTTTTCTTCATGTAATAAACACAGTTCATACAAACTTCGAATTACATATTTTCAACCTTAAGGGAGTTTGTACATCTACACAATCAATTCATGAAAAAATAATTTATCAGAAATTGTAGATGAAATGATTATGTAATTATTACAATAACATTTAAAATAATAATCGTCCACGCGAAGTTTCGATGCCAACGTTGGCATTCTCTTTCGGCATAAATAAACATTTCTCTAATTCGACATTAAAGCTAAATTAACTGTTAATAGAAAATATGCTTTTTGAATAGGATGCATGTTCTTATGATATTGGATTCGTAATCAGCGACCCAAAAAACCCCCAAGTAACGATTTTTAAGTAAATCTGATGAATTTTTATCTTTGACGTCCGCCATATTGGATCCGCCATTTTGAATTTTTAAAAACGAACATCCGACTCGTAATCAGCGACCCCAAAAACCCCCGAGTAACGAATTTTATCAAAATCCATTAAAGATATTGTCTTTTTTGCTTCCTCATAAAGGAAGCCTTATAGTGATGTCGATTTCCGAATTTTTTAGAATCAATTATTTTTACAAATTTTCAAGTGTAGTATATATAATTCGTCGAGAGGAACAAATGTCCGGATGTATGTGTGTATGTATGTGTGTGTGTGTGTGTGTGTGTATGTCACCGATTCTTGTGGACAAATTTTCTCTTACACGTCTTGACGGATTTTGATACAATTTTGTAGGTGTATTACGGTCACGAATACCAAAAATCAGACAGAAGGATTTTCGAAAATATCTAAAAAAAAAAATTTTTTCAACAATTTTTTAATTTTTGAAAAAATTAATTTTTGAATTTTTTGAAATAACTTTTTTCTATATTAAAATTTTTATTAATTCTTGGCAAAATTGCATTCCTGACATAAAAACGAATTGATTCATGTATATAAAGTATATATTTTATTCAAATTTATAGAATTAATAAATATTTTAATTTTTCACAAAAAATTGAAATTTTGTATTTTTTGAAATTTTATCTTAACACTTTAAAATAATTATTCTAAAATAAAAAATTAAACGATTGGTATATATTATATTGAGGAAGCTTAATGATCATGAAATGAACAACTTGTTTACAATTTGTTATAGCTGTCAATGTTTGTTAACTTAATTTGTTTATAATTTTAAAAATTTCACCTGTTTAATTTTTGTTTTATTCAAGGAGTACACTAACATTAATTTTCACTAGTTTTGAATATTAAATATTTGATTTTATAAATGGGAGAACAAATTATTTGAAAAATTCTTCCTTTTGGTTAACTTTGCAATAAACAAATTAATATAAACAAATAAAAATTTCAAAATCAGGCTCGACAAAGCTCTTTGCAATTTTGTAAGCTTTCATTTAAAAAAAATTAATAAAATCGGTTAAAAAATAAGGCCTGTAGACCTTTTTGAAACTCAATTTGCAGGTTTGCACCACTGTGCGGGGGACATAAGGGACCATTCAAGTATTACGTAAGCATTTAAGGGGGAGGGGGGGTCTAGCTATTGCTTATTTCCATTAGAAAAAATGGCGCTAATGCATATAAAAAATCTTACATGGGTGAGGGGGGGTCTAAAACCCTGAAAAATATGTTTACGTAATACTTGAATGGCCCCTAAAATGAGAGTATTTTCATCCCGATTCATAAAGTTTAACTATATTTTTTTTGCATTTTTCATTTTGTAACAAAACGTTTTTTAGCCATAACTTAAAAAAAATGTTAGGGCACCTATAAATGTTTTTCTTTAGTTTTGTAGAGTTTTTTCAGACGCATCTTTTGAGCCTTCATTGGACATTTTTCGTTTATATTAGCCAGAGATATTAAAGTTTTAAAAATCTAAATTTTTCGAAAATAACACTTTTTTGAAAATTTTGTTGAAAAATATAAAAGTATGTAACTTTAAAAGTATCATTATCAACTTGTAGAGCATTAAAAAACGCTTCGATTGACCTATTTTTTAACCTGATTCGGGCAGAAATTATAAAATTATTGGTATTTGAAAAATCAAAAATTGTGGAAAATATCATTTTTTCAACATTCTTGTTTATTAACTTATGTGTAATTATTAAACTATTATAACCATCTTATAGAATATATAAAAACATATTTTTTGGTTCAAGATTTAATGATTTTTAACTCTTTTATAAAAATTAATTCTTATATTTCAATTATTATTATTTCTATGAGGAAGCAAAGTGTTCATGAAATGAACATTAAAATTATAAAAATGTACCACTTGGCAGCGGTTTTTCAGTTTTCTTAATAGAGGAAAATAAGTATTACTTAGAAGTTGTATATCTTCTTTCTTATTGATCGTTAAATTTAATAAATAACATTTCAGAAATTAATCGTTTTTTATAATTTGATTCCAAATCTACAATTTTGACTTCATCAAAATTCAAAGAATGATTAAGCGTAGTTTGATGTTCATTAACCATAGATTCAATTTTTTTGGTTTTATGCTCCTTAATTCTTTTTTCCAAACTACGTTTTGATTCCCCGATGTAAATGTCAGAACAATTATTACAATTAAATTTGTAAACGATATCAGTTTGGTTCAACAATCAATCATCAACAAAATTCGACAACGGAAGAAAAAATCAACTATATAATAATTATTTTTGTTCAAAAAGCTGATTTTCTGAAACTTTATAAGTACAAATGTAATGTTTCCAAGTTTTAAGTAATTCGTTGAAGCTGCTCCGAAACATTTAATAATCAACTAGAATCGCATAAAATTCTTTTAGAGTAAAAAACCAGACATATTAAAGTTAAAAAATCGAAAATTTTGAAAAATAAGTAATTTTAAAAGTCTCATAACCAACTTGTAGAGCATTAGAAAACGCTTCGAAAACCTGAAATATAAAACAATAGTTTATCGTAAAGGATTATGTAAAGTTTACCTTTTTCTTGCAGTTTGTCTTCAGAAATCACTTCTGACGGCTTAGGCAGCTGCGCCAAAGGAGTGCCAGACATGACATGTATGTGAGCGTGATGAGCCACCTGAGCCTGAGCCGCAGCCTGTGCATGCGCCTGGGCCTGCGCTGCAGCTAGGTGAGCGTGGGCTTGCTGCTGAACCATCATTGTGGCCCAGGGGTTGGGCCCCAGCAAATAGGGAGGTAAAGACATTGTGACAATAGTATTCTCTGAAACCAAAAATCATGGTTCACATGTTATTATTCTACATAAAAAATCAACATTTTCTGCTCTACAAATTTTTATTACATTCTCATCACATGAGAAAGTATTGGTTTTATTTTTTAATTACACTACCAACAGAAATTGTCTTAAATATCTTTATAGTCTTTCCTAAGGTTTCAAAATCTCCTTCCAAAAATGAATTTCAGGGTTGAAATGCAAGTAGATTTATAACACTGAAGTTGACTGTCTCAACAGTCTTGCAAAAATCTACTTGCATTTTAACCCTGAAATTTGATTTTGGAAACAGATTTTTTAATCATTGTTAAAACTATAGAAAGCAACTCGAATGGAAATCGATTCAGAAAAAATTTGTAATGACAAAATATCGCGTCCAAAATGTATGACCTTTCATTTGAGCATTATCAGAAATTATTATTTTTTCGAAATTCAAAATAGCGGCAAAATTATCTAAAATTTTGAATAGTCATAGAAAAACAAATTGCAGATTACTGTTCTCTAAATAAATTTTTGAGAAAAAATTATTGACCACAATTATTTAACAACTTTATAAACAATTAATATTAATTTGAATTTTTAAACATTTGCTATAAACAAATTCCAAATTATCAACAAGTCAAGGTTTAAAAATTTCGTTTTTTCTTTTGTTATTTTTTTCAAAAGGATTAATGAATCATGTAACTTCAATTCTATTAATATATTTTTCAATATTTGTATCTTTCAAAAAACAAATTGTTTAAGACTTTAAAATATTGTTAAATTAGTCATAGTGATAAAATTTTATCATAGATGTCAGATTTATACTAATTTTAGTCATTTATGATAAGAAAATGTGTCTGCAATTTGTTTTTCTGACTATTCGAGATTTTAGATATTTTGACCGCCATTTTGATTTTTGAAAAAATTAAAATTAAAAAATCATAACATTTAATCCTTAGTCAAAAGAGTCAAATTTTTTTAAAGATTCTGAAAGAGGACTAAAAAATATATAAGAAACACCATGTAACTAAATACTCATTAGAATATTACATTAAAGCGATATTGAGGATAAAATTTTTTTTCTAATAAAGGAAAAGATAAACTACTAAAGTCATCATTTTATTTATTAATTGTATTAAAATAAAAATATAATAAATATTCGAAATTCAAAAAAGTGTTTCGTTAAGTTTCTTAAAAATTATTTTTGAATGTTTGTAAAAAAAATTGGCAAGATTTCGTCAAAATCTGTGGGCTGTATATTTAAAGCAATACAATTGCCAATGTGAGGCACCTTTCAAATAATTATTTTTCTTTTTTAATAAAAACAATCTATATTTGTTATTAACAGTTTTGATAGAGAAATTTCTCAATTTTACGAAGGTAAAAGCAATTTTTGAAAAAAAAGTTAACTTTTGTATATCTTAAAACACATTACCTCAGATTTTAATAAAAGTTGTGTCAAAGTAGAGCTTAAATATTTTATTTTTATTACTCTAAACATTGTTGTAAGCAATTCAGGGAGAATATTGAGAAACAATAATAAATTTTGCAAGAAATTTAAAGGTCGATAATGACATAAATGATGGATCTACGTATCGAAAAATCAGTATTTGTTTTTACAGAATTATTTGAAATTAAAAAATTTATATTTTTTCAAATATTTCTTAAATTATTTAGGTATTTTATATCTATTTGTATATTCGACAAAAGTAAAAAAAATTCCGCTCCTGTGCCTGTATAATGAATGGTTCTCAATTCACCTCTAAAATACTTGCAAAATTGGGCATCACAATCTTTTCAGGAATTAAAATAAAATATTTTTTAAGTTAAAATTTTTATCTTTCAAACCTAATATTTTATACAAATTATATAATTTTAAAAAAAATTCTTTTCACTATCGTAAAATTGAGAAATTTTTCGATCAACTGCTAATAACGAATATAGTTTGTTTTTATTAAATGGGAGAAATAATTATTTCAAAGGTTTCTTACAGTATCAATTGTCTACGAGGGGGGTAGTTTTCAAATTGTTAAATATATTCGATTTTCAACAATTTTTGTTTTTTAGAATTAAAAACTATAATTGCAAAATATAAAGATGAAATTACAAATAAACAACTGACAACAAAAAATCAACTTTTATGTACGCTTGTTCATTGTCCTTGGTGAAATTCACATTTATAACCGACGATTTAGAAGAAAACCTATTTTTCTATTCAAAATTTTAATAATTTTCAGTTTAAAAAGTTATTCACAAAGTTTTTGATAAACATCTAATGTAATAAAATTTGTAAACAAGAAATTGTACTCATTGCTTTGCACATGAAAATTATTTTTTTCTTTCAAAATTTTACATTATCGTAAACGTGAAATTCACAGACGTGTTTATTGGAGGACCCAGGCCGACTCAAATTGCACTTTTAGGGTTAGAAATAAATTTTTACTCCATAACTTCAAATTTATAGTCTGCGGCTATTACTAATGAGTTGCAAGTGGTTGCAAGTTATTTATCAAAAAAAAGAAAAATGAAAGTTAGTTATTGTTATTTGAATTTCGTCTGAGACTCTCCATATAAATCATCCGGTTTTTAATGATATTCACAAGTTTGTTTCCACACTTTGGAAAATAAGTTATGAGTATATATTTTTACGTACCTGTTTTAGTAAGCCGCTAAATTAATATACAATCTTCTCATTGTATGGTACTTATGTATTTTAATTCTACTGAAGACGAATTAACTGATTCGATTATATTTTAGTATAGAATAGATAAAAATTTACTTTACACTTTAGGTTACAAAGAGGCATCATAACCGCGTTTAATGACGGAAGCAAGAAGCAAGGTGATACGACTCGCAAGGAGTGTTCTAAGGCTGTGTTTACATGACTCGGGTTTACTTGCGTTGTTGTTGAACAATAATGGCACGTTCACAGCGCGGCGCCAGCTTGAAAATATTTCATTATTTCGCAAACACTACGTTGGTTGCTATGACAACATATGCTCGTACGCAGACTTTTAATCTATTGTAGAAAGGCCTTTACAAAACGTAACGCAAAAAGCTATTTCGATATTTTTCAGTAAAATATTTTTTCTACCGACAGAGGTGTGAACGCACCTTTAAAGCACAATCCAATCTATGTTTAAAAATCCATTGTTTGTATAGACTGTTTACACTTTATGCCAATGCTAACATGGAATTGAATATTTAAACTATGTATTTTAATTTTGATTTATTTTATATTTTTATTTGCGATGTAAACCTCATGAATAATTAGTTAAGTTGACTCCATTCGTTCTAATTAGATAAAGAGGATAATTTTTTGAATGTATTTTTTATGCGCAGAACGCATTTGTCGGATCAAATGTCTAAAGTTCAGAATCAGTTTTGCCACGTGGTTTGAATTGAAATGGATCAAATTTCTCTTTTATCGAATTTTCTAAACGACTATGAAGGTCGTGATAAATTCCTAAGACTTTTCTCGTATACTGCTAAATTTGCGTGTGGAGTAACTTCCGGGAGAACAGCTGGGAATTTGAAAAAAGTTTCAAGTGAAATGAGCAATTGTAGAGTAGTTCTAAGACTGATGGATGACATTCCTGCTTGGCACGATGCTCTGTCATACGAGTGGACTCGAAAGGTGCTTGCTAGAGATAAACTTTAATAAGGTTATCGTATTAATGATTGTAGTTTAGGAAAAGCTATGGCAGCTATCTTATCTCGTGTAACGCCAACTACAACTATTTAACGTCAATTATACACTTTACGTACTTCAAACCCAGTCGCTTAAAAAGCTGGGACTTGAATTACGCAAAAAATTACGCAAATAGTAATACCTATGAAACTTACACTCGCGGTGGGTCTCAGTTGACTTCAACACACACATATGGCTCAGTCCACTGACTAAGAATATTGTCTGGGAGCTGTTGCGGCTATATTTTTAAGAAATCTAGTTTTCAAAATCTACTTCAAAACCTACTATTTTTTACGTTAGGCTAATATTTGGCTACTTTTTTTAGATTTCAGCTACTATTTCTGTTTTTTCGATTCAATTATTTTCAAAAAAAATTCGAAATTCAATTATTTTTATGAAATTTCGCACAAGAATTCAATTGTTTAAAAAAAAAGTTAATAACATTGAATTACATATTATATTTTTATAAATAATAAAATTTCCACAGGAATTCAATTAATTTAAAATCGCATTTTCAAACAAATTTCGAAAAAATCAATTTTATTTAACAGAATTTTTATACAATTCTTCACAATAATTCAATTACTTTCACTAATAATAAATAACATTTTTCATGGAAATACAATTATTAAAAAATTTTTTGATAAAATTCTAAGCAAGAATTCAATTATTTTCATAAATAATAAAACTCATCGAAGAATTTTAATTATTTTTAATACTATTTTAAATTAATTAATCCAAAAATTCAATTATTTTCACAAATAAAGTTTTCCACAAGAATTCAATTATTATTATTTAAAATAAAATTTTCATAATATTTATTATATTTCGAAAAAATTAATTATTTAAAACAATGTTCTTAAAATTCTTCTAAAGAATTCAATTATTTTCAAAAATAAATTTTTGTAACATAAATTCAGTTCTTTTTAAACATTTTAATTAAATTTTTCTGAATAATTCAATTATTTTCATAAATAATAAAATTAATCGCAGAATTTTAATTATTTTTAATACAATTTTACTGGATTTTCTCAAAAAATGTAATTATTCTTAAAAATTTAATTTTAATTCCTCGAAAAAATCAATTATTTAAAAAAATGTTTGTTTAAAATTCTTTGTAAAATTCAATTATTTTCATAAAAAACAATAATTATCACAAGAATTCAATTATTTTTAAAAGTAATTCATTTTTTTTGGAAATTCAATTATTTTAAAAGATTTTAATAAAATCGTTGTCAAGAATTTTTAGGAATTCAATTATTAAAAAAAAAATTGAATAAAATGCCACAGAGACATTCCATTAGGATAACCCTTCAATTATTGTTAAAAATTTTAATAGAATTCTTTGTAAAATTTAATTATTTTTAAAAACTTTTCTCAATTCAATGATTTTCAATATCTACTACTTTCATAAAATTTTCAAACAGAATTCAATTATTTAAAAAAATTTTTATAAAAATCTTCGTAAGAATTCAATTCTTTTCATGAATAATAAAAATTTCTCAGTAATTCAATTATTTAAATTGGAATTTGCATAAAATTAGTCGAAAGAAGTCAATTATTTAAATATTTTTATAAAATTCTTTCATGAATAATAAAATTCGTTGGAGGAAATCAATTTATTAGCAGGATAATAATAAATTTTTCCAAAACAATTTAATTATTCAAATAAAATTTTGATAAAATTCTACCCAAACATCTAATTTATTTTTTAAAATAATTAAATTTTCTTTTTCTGTCGTCGATTTTACACTTTCGGTTCGCTTGAGACTGTTCCCTAATATTGGCGTGAAATATTTACCGTAGTTATCAAAAATCATTATGTTTGTTTCGTTTTGAAAAATATTTAAATAAATATTAACTCAAATGTATCACATTACTCTGTATTTTAGAGCTAAAATAAAAATATATTAACTCTTATTTTCATTTTGTTTCTACAATTCAAGTGAATTTTAATTTTTATATTCTCATCACATGAGAAGGTATTATAATTAGTCAAAAATTTGACTTCTGCTAATTTTACTAAACTAATTCTATCATCGACTTCTAATTCGGTATACTCAAAAATAGTACTTTAAGTATAAACTTTTTAACGACGAAATGTGCAGCTTTTCAACTTGAATTTCAATCTTCTACAATTAGTAGAAAGAAACTATAAAAGTTTTCAAAAATCCATACCCAACTATTTTTGGGGCCGCTCTTTCGAATGACGAGGACAAAATTTTCAAAAAATTAGATTAAACTCTTCTCATGAGGTTGCTTATTACGAATTTAAAGTCAAATTCAGAAAATTGAGGATGACTGACTAATTTATCAAAATTGCTCAAATATCATTGAACAGGGTTACCACAAATATTTTATTTGTTTTTCCCTGATTTTCAGACAAAATTTTCATTTTTTCCCTGACCCTAAAGAATATTCTGATTCACTCTAAAAATTATTACATACACATTGTATCAAAAATAATTAAAATCCTGCGATGAGTTTTATTATTTATGAAAATAATACAAAATTTTCCCAAGAATTTTATTAAAATTTTGCTGAAATAATTAAATTTTAGAGAATTTTATTATTTATAAAGATAATTGAAATTTTGACAAGAATTTTTTTTTTAATTTTTGAACATAATTGAAATTCTGCGAAGAATTTTATTATTTTTGAACATAATTTAATTCTTTAAACGAATTTTATACAAGTTTATAAAAATAACTGTATTTCTGTGAAGAATTTTATTATAAATAATATATAAATAATTGAATTCTTGCAACAAATTTTATCCATGTTTATAAAAATAATTGAATATTTTATTATTTATAAAAATAATTTGAATTCTTGCGACGAATTTTATAAAAATCTTTTTAAATAATTGATATTTTTCGAAAAATTTTATAAAATTTTGTAAATTAAATAATTGAATTATTTTGAATTAATTTATTAAAAATTGAATAATTAAATTCCTACGAAATTTTATCAAGAATTTTATTAAAATTTTTAAATATAATTTAATTTTGATGAAGAATTATATTATTTATAAAGATAATTAAAATTTTGACAATATTTTTTTTTAATTTTTGAACATAATTAAAATTCTGCGAAGAATTTTTATAACTTTTGAAAATAATATTGAATTTCTGGAATCATTTGTAACTTTTCCAAAATTCAATTCTTTTTAGTATTTTGAACTAAAATTCTTTTATCAATCTAGTATTTATGAAAATTGTAAAATTTATTCATTAATTAATTTATAAGTCATAATTTTATGATAGTTCTTGAAAAATTAAGTTATTTAAAAAGAAATTATTGTCAGAAATTGAAAAAATTGAAGGTTTTGTATTAAAATTCGTGGTAATTTCATAGTTTACGAGGCAAACAAAAAAAGCATCAAAATTCAGAGTTTTCTCATGAATTTTAAAAATTCAATTTTTTCCATGCACTTTTACTAAAAATCCCTGACTTTTCCCTGATTTCCCTGACCAATTTTACTTTCCCTGACCTGTGGCAACCCTGTTGAAATTTATTGCTTGGGATTTTTTGGGATCGCTGATTACGAATTCGCTATTAGTTTTCAAAAATTCAAAATGGCGGATCCAATATGGCGGACAAAAGCTTTAATATTTATTCAATTGATCTTAATTTTGTCACTCGGGGGTTTTCGGGGTTGCTGATAACGAATCTGAAGTCGGATTTTGATTATGTAATAATATAATATGTTTAGAGTTTAAATACTGTTTTTCCTCTAGCAATCGAAGTTGATTGACTACGTGAGCGCCATTCAAACTGTAATCGACGTGATTTATTCCCCGATTGAAAGTATATGCTGGGCTGGAGGACATAGAATTTTATCAATCAATACTGAACTGTGGGACACTACAACCACGTATTTTTGGATCACATCAATATCTCTGTCCTTAATTAAGTGAGTTAATTGAGAACTGTTTAATTCATTTTCATATACGTTGGGTCGCAAGTGGTTTCAACCTAAGTGTTTGCACCTCTCGGTTACTTTTTCTCAAGTCATGTTTTTTTACATGTGTTTTAGATTCTAAATTCTGATTCATAAAAAATCTTTATGCTTAGAACACATCGTAAAGTTCCCCTTAGTATTCCTAAAGTATTTCTTGTGAGTACACTTGGATCATTCCTTGAATATATTTTTCACAAATTAAAATGTTTGTTTCAGATCAGCTTATAAAATCATCGAGTTGAACAAGTACAAACAATGTTTAAATGACAAATCTAATAATAGGTGCGTATAACTGTTTTATATGTGACGCGCTCCCAAGAAAGGTGCCCAAGAAGCAAAAAATCGTAGATCATGTTTAAAATTGTTTGAATAAAAATACAGAAAAAGAATCAATTATAATTAACTAATATCCATTAAAATAGTTTTAAAAAATATAATTTTTCTTCAGGATACAGAGGAATAAAATAAAAGTGCAGCAACGCTCCGAACTAGTAACTTGCATCAGATTGATTCTCGACTTTAGTTACGCTGTGAGTTACTTGCCCAAAGGCACACTTTATGGAGGAAAACTAAAAACTTGGCAAGTGGGTGCGTTGGGAACGTTGTCTTCGTTAATCGCTATTTACCAGGCATTGAATAAACGAGCCAAATCTTCATAATCCTACAATTCATCGTTATGATTACAATTATTGTTAAATAATATTAAATGTACGAAAGGTGAGGTTAACAAATTTTGTAATATATATATATATATATATATATATATATATATATATATATATATATATATATATATATATCATATTACTATAGTTATTCATTGATAAGTAAATAAATTTTTCCTAACAATAGAAGTTAATTTAATTATTCTAAATTCTATCCTTCAGAGTCAGTTTCTAGTGAAACATTGATCAATAAAGAGTAAAAACATTATGTAATAAAATTGAAAAAAATATATTTGGGTGATTCTCCGCGTAGCGCACGATTTGGTTTATGAAATTAAAAAAATTTTTTTTTATCGTTATGATTATTATCAATATATTTTTTTGAAGATAAAGGCTTTAGAAAGAAAAATCCATAGCGGACCGGAAAAATTATTTATAATTTTTGTTGTAAACAAGTGTAGTAATTAACTAATTCACTGTTTGGACACATTCTGTCAAAAAAAATTTTGCGGTAATTTAAACAATATTATAGCGTAAATCTCATTTAAAAATTATTATTTTGGTAATTTATGGAAATTTATACGTAAATTTATGGAAATTTTCGCGATAATTCATAAAAATATGTAAAATTTAAATTATTATTAAAAATTTGAATTTTGGCAATTTATGGAAATTTTCGCGGTAATTTATGGAAATTTATAAGGTAATTTATGGCATTTTGTAAGGTAATTTAAAGAAATCTTGTCGGTAATTTTTAAAAATATGCAAAGTATCTAGAAATCACAATTGAAAGCTATAGGTTTTTTTACTTCTTATATATGTTGCACCATAACACTACATTTGCACTAGGTTCTTCGTAATACGAAGGTCGGTGGAAACTTTTTCAACCGACTTTGGATATTTTAATTTTTTGAGAAAAGTATCATTAATTTTCAATCGGTTTAAAGTGGATCTCATTCGTATTGACCAAAACAATATAACTACGCTTTATTTTTTTTTTTATAAATAATTGTTTAATTTGTGATAAAATATTTAAGGGTCGGTGAAGACTATTTTGTGATTCCCTTTTCAAATTCCCAACATAAAATGAGTGAAAAATGAATAAATCAATTAGAACATTGATTCTTTTTCCTGAATTAACTTAAGGAAGTTATTTTTTGTGTTTACAAAAGTAATTTTAAGTTAACATTTGATTTTCATTTAAATAATTTACTGTTTGTTGATAAAATAATGAATAGCATCCAAATTTGCTGTCAAGCAAAAACTGAAAAAAACATATATAAAATTAATTTTTTTTTAAAATTTTTTTTATTCAACTGTACTAAAGTAGACGATACTAAAATGTCAATAGTAATTGCATATTACTAAAATTATTAACTTTTTTTTCTAAACTTCCTGTGGAGACAGGTAAAAATTTGACGTTTTCAGCCTTAAAACCGCTTATTTATGAAAAATTATAATATTAGATACAAAAATAATTATTGGTTTTTGTTTCTAAACATATAGATAACCTTTTCACGTTGGAATTGTAAAAATATATGAAAATTATTTATTATTTTTCCATTACAACATGAAAAAAACCAAGTTCTGCGCTACGCGGAGAATCACCCATTTAGTTTTTTTTTACGTTAATTCTTTACATCAGAAAAATTACAGAAAAAAATTGATGCTGCCTAGATATATTTTTGAACCTTCCGTCCGACATAATTATGTCAATCGAAAGGCGCATTTTTCTAGGTATTGACTTTTCCAATTGTTTTATTTGTAGATCGTTACATATGTTATATGTATGTAAACGGATAGTTTCATAAAATTGACGTTTTTGTAACTATCCGTACACATAAGCTGGTGGAGGGTTGAACAGGTACTGTAGGAGAGTCGACAGTAATAAAGATTTCTTCCATCAATACGGCGAACGGTTAAAATCAAAAGTACAGATTAATCAAGTGAACTATTAACTTATTTAACTTTAAATTTCATACGACGCGACAATTTATGGTACAAAAGTAAGGAATGCAATGTACATAAGCAAAATTTGCAAATTCAGCTATTATTTTATTTACAATAAAGAATTTGTTTAAATAATATTGACTCAGTCTTCGGAATCGTATTCAAATTCCTCTTTCAAAAGATCCTCTGGTAAGCCAACAGTGGAAGCCTCCTCTGGCGATATTCCTTGAATGTAGTCGAACAAAGAGATTACTTTGTACTGACTTATGCATTCAACTAACCACTCTTGTTCAACTGGCACTGCTTTAGTTTTCTTAAACCAATCCCCTAAAACAAATTATTATGTACATACTGAATGAATAAATAAAGCACTAGCTATTTATTCTTATAAATATTTCGAAACATTATCTCAGATTTTAAAGGAACTTATATAAAAAAAGAAGGCGCTTCTTTTCTTCCTTCAAGCTTTTTCTGATAAACAAATATTTAAGAAAATAATGTCAAAGAACTGAAAAATTTTAATTGTAAAAATTTAATCAATTTTTAAACATAATCGCTGTATTTGCTGTAAATATTCTTTTTTTTAAACTTGCCGTAATTAATATAATTATGTATATAGGGAGACTACGAGTTGATCTAGAGGTGGAGGCGCGAAATACAATTGATATTTATCATCACATGGTTGCCACAAAATCTAGATTTCAAAATTCCAGGCTTTTTCCAGGTTTTCCAGGTTAAAAATATTAAAAATTCCAGGATAAAATTTAGGAATTATTTGTCATGAAAAAACAAGTATTTTACAAAACTGCATTTTTATGTTTATTTTTCTGAAAGTGATACTTTTGATATTCGATTTTTCAATATATTTTTTTAAAATTATATGGTTTTTTCTATTGAAACTACTTTATTTCATACTCAATAGTAAGAATTTAAGTTGCGCAAAATTAATTTGAAAATATTAAAGTATTTCTTCTTTGAATTTTACTCGGGTTAATATGTAAAATTTGAATATTTATAAAAGCAATCAGACCATTAACTTTATTTGAATGTGCATTCACATTTTTTTAGAATATTTTTAATTTATAAAAACATTATTAATCATCGTGAAGTAATTTTAACTTAAACGGAAGACAAAATTTAAACTTTTTTATCACATATAAAACGGAGGTCAAAAAATTTTTAAAATGCACATAATGATAGAAAAAACATTGTACTTTCTGGCACTATTTAAAAAAAATTTCTAAGAGTTTGAAAAAAACCATAAAAATTTAGTTTTCTTATAAAACTCCTATTGGAGACATGTTAAAAAGACTTTAAAGATGAAATTATTTTAGCCATTGTATAAATTCAGTTAAATAAAATTGTTTAATTTTTTTAATGATAAGTAAGTGCTAAATTTTTTCTATGAAAATGGTTAATAATATTATCAGAGAGTAGATTTTATAAAATTAATCGAGATATCAAAAATGTCACTTTCAGAAGAATCAGCCATAATTAGCACATTGAAGTCATGTCTAAATTAAATAATTTTCATCTTCAAACTTTGTTCAAATTTCAAAATCTTGAACAAAAAGCAACTGGTAACAAAAAATTTTGACAATCGTAATACTAATAAAGATATAAAATCCTATTTTTCACAGTTTTAGTCAATAATTAAAAAGAAAAATTAAATTGTTTAATTTAGTCAATAATTAAAAAAAAATTAAATTAATTTAAAGAGAAGATAACATGGAAAAGGAAAATTGCATGTTAACATTTTTAAAGAAAAATAACATGTTGAATGAAATTTTTCTTAATATCTTTCATTAACCCAAAAAAATTCCAGAAATTCGTTCAAATTCCATGCTATTTCCAGGTTTTCCAGGTTGTGTGGCAACCATGTCATCATATAGCATAAAAAAGTTAATACTTACTTATTACATCATCATCCCAATGATCGCACTGCATGATGATAATCTTCTTGTTATTATCATTATTATAATTAATAAAATCCTCCATTTTTTGTAGAATTGTAGCTCCCATATGAATTAGTAAATCCTATAAAAGTAAAAATATAAGCATTTTAAAGTGTAACATAAAGTATCCTCAGCCTACGTTGACTTAACCCCACTCTAATGTTCTTAAATGTAACTTTTAGACCCCACCAAGTGACCCAATAGACACAAAAGTATATTTTAATCAAAAGCAATCTCGCATGTCTCTTCACTTTCAGAATCATTAATTTGTAAAAAAAAGTTCAATTCTATCGAAAATAAAGATTGACTCAAAATTATGGTACGCGACAAACTATGGATGGTACATGGTACAAGGGGTTAAATTGTGGTACGATTACATAATTATGGTACGGTCCGGCAACACTCTGTAACTTTTACACCACCTCAAGAGTAGGTGCAGAAAGTGTAGCGAAATGTATGATAAAATTACGTCACATCCGGCAAAGAGAACATCATAGTGCAGGTTAGGTGTTAAAGTGTAAGAAGTGCAGGCAACGAAAACATACCTATTTATAAGTAAAATTAATCAAATTAAAAGTATGAATAGTGATTTTTAAAGGGTTTTTCACGAGCTACAAGCTGGTGATGCGAAAAAGATGTTTTCTTTCAACTTGACCTCGAAATTCAAGGTCAGTGTAGCTTAATTAGTTTTTTTTACGAATGCGCTTCAAATATGGACGTAATTAGCTAAAAAAAAAACGTTGATAACATCAGTACAAAAGAAATGTACCTATAAAAATTGGTCCGATTTGCTTGATACTTGTTACTCGCGGGTTTTCAGGGTCGCTAATTACGAATCTGGTATCAGATTTTCAAAATTCAAAATAGCTGATCCAATATGGCGGACATTAAAACTAAAAAGTTGATTATTTTTTATGAAACTTAGTACATAAAGGTTTTTGGAGTCGTTGATTACAAATCTTACATCAGATTTTGAAAATTTGATGCCAGATTCGTAATTAGCGACCTCAAAAACCCCCAAATAATGAATTTCAGGCAAATTCAAACAATTTAGCTTCCTCATGAGGAAGCTTTGCATTGGTGACGATTTTCAATTTTTCAAAAGAACAGGGTGGCCGCTGGACCGGGAAACCGGGAAAACCGGGAAAACCGGGAAATGACAGTGAATTTTTTTGGACAGGGAAAAACCGGGAAATGACAGTGAATTTTGATCTTGACCGGGATTTTGGAATTTTTTTTTAAAAACACACATTACTTTGTGAGGAAAAATAGAAATATTTATTTTAAGACTTAGGTATTAACTATATTTCATTAAAAAAGATTGAATGATCTTCTATAAAATCTATTTATATTTTGTCAGAGAATTTTATAAAAAGTACTATAAAAATATTCAATATCTAGAATTTATAAGGAAATTATGAATTTTGTTGTCCAACGTAACATACTTAGAAAAAGAAAATATTAAATTTAATTTTAAATTCTTTCTATTTCTAACAATAATTAAACAAAATATAATTTTAATTAAATTTGTCAAAAAAATTTCAAAGAGAAAAAATTTCACATCCTATAAAATAATGAAAAATAAATCAATTTAAAAATTTTTTTGCAATTAATATTATAACAAAACAAATAAGAATTATTAAAAATTTGAACTAATTAGAACAAAAGTGATACGATAAATTCATAAAAATGAATTTTTGAATAATAAATAAAGTAAATAAAAATAAATAAAATTTCTTTTCTTAGAAAATAAATTTTAAAAAACCGTATTTTTCATTAATATCAATTAGTTTTTTTACAATTATTCATAAGCAAATTTTTCGATTTTTTAGAATGTTAAATTAATATTACTAATATTATTGTAGATTGAATTTTAAAAAATTTAAAATTGAAGTTTTAGAAAAGTTGAATTTTAAAAGATTTTAATTAAAAATTCTGAATAATTTAGTCTTTAAAAATATTTTTATTCACATTTTCTCAAATTAGTTATGTTTTTAAATATGTAATATTTAATTGAAAAATTTTCAAATTATTCAAAATTTCATGAAATTGTCTTGTAAACAAGTGGATTTTAGAAACATTTTAGTTATTTCTAGAATATAATTGAATTAAAATTTTGAAAATAATTTTTAATAAGTTGCAGTAGCAATTCTTAAAAATTATTCAAATTTAAAGGATTTGAAATTTTAATTTTTTTTTGAAATTTGAATACCTACTATATGGAAAAATAATGGATAATAATTAAATATTTATTTCAAAAAATCTATTTAAGTTCAAAATTATTTTTAGAGTAAACTAAAATATTTTTAGGGTTTGGGAAAAAGTCAAAGTTTTGTCTAAAAATCAGGAAATTCTTTCAATCTTTCATGGAATAATTTATTTTCAGAGTTATTATTTATGACCGGGAAAAATAATTTATGACCGGGAATGGACCGGGAAATGACCGTGAATTTTTTTTTACAAAAAAAGTGGCCACCCTGAAGAAGGTTATACGGACTCATTTTCATCTAGAACATATGTATATTCAATTACGAGCAAATGTCCAGATGTATGTGTGTGTATGTCACAAAAATTGTGTACAAATTATCTCAGACAAATTTTTATGGATTGTCCTGAAATTTTGCAGGTTTATTGCAGTCATTAATACCTAAAATCTGACACAAGGATTTTCGAAAATATCTACAACATTTTTTTTAATACAATTTTTTTAAAATTCAGAAAAAATTTTTTTTTGTATTTTTTGTAATAATTTTTTTATTTGTTAATATTTTCATTAATTATTCTCAAAATTACATTCCTGACAAGAAAACGAATCGATTGATGTATACAAAGTATATATTTTATCAAAATTTATAAAATTAATAAATATTTTTCTTTTTCACAAAAAATTCAAATTTTTTTCATAATTTATTTAATATTCCTAATATTAATATTTTGAAATGATTATTTTATCATAAAAAAGAACCAATTGGCAAATGAAAGTGTAAATTTCACCAAATATTTATATAACAACTTATAAATGATTTATATCACTTTATTTTTAACAAATCTTTTGGACGAACCCTTTTGTACATAGTTTTTCAAAAGTTTGCAAAACCGCAATTTTTATATATTGAGGAAGCTAAATGGTCATGAAATGAACAACTTGTTTTAAATTTGTCCGCCATTTTGAATTTTGAAAATCTGATGCCACATTCATAATCAGCGACCCCAGAAACTCTCGAGTAACGAGTTTCAAGCCATTTTAATGTGCAGAAGCATGAATATTAACTTGTTAACTTTAAGAAAGTTTTTCTCGAAAACTTGATTTTAGGCGTAAGGTGCCTTTTAACTTACCAGGTCACATATCATGAATCTACAGTTAATGAACGAAAGACGCTTTAAATTTCTAAAAATGAAGAAAAATTGTAAAAATGATGAGGTATTTCCCCGTTCTGTAAAATTTGTGAAATGGCGCTTAACAGGTTCAGATCGCAGACCCTTCATTTATAAAAAGCCACTTTTACGTGGACACTTACATTGTGTGGTATTAATCGATACGCGAGTGTGTAAGTAAACAAAAATAAATAAAATAAAAAAATTAACATATATTTGTTTTTCGTAAAGCCATGTCCACAATAGGTTCTACTTTTGTCCTTATGTTGATCATAATATAAAAATACAGAGAATATATTTGTGGGCATCGCCAAAAAAGCATCATTTACTTGTAATCAAGTATTATTACATTCATTATTATGAATAATATTTATTACTACTGCCTACACTTAACCATATTAATATTTTAATGCTTACCGAGTAATCTGCAACGGAAACATCATTAAATGGACCTTGACAGAGACAGATGAATCCTTCAAAAATATTCCTTGTTCTCAACCGTGATTTTTTTGGACCTTCCTCTAAAGTTAAATTATCAACAACTTCATATTTATCTTCATTGAGCAACTCTTTTCTTTGCAAACTATCAGACACCCAATCTATGCTAACTATCCACTTTCCATAAGCAATTCCTTGTAAATATTTTAAAGTCTTTTCTGCCGTATTTCGCTGTCCGACAACTTTAACGATCACGTGCGTGGCGGTGGAATTAAACCTGCCGATAAAATCAGCATCAACTAATTCACACAGGTTTTTTACCTCTTGAATTTGCGAACCTGACAGACCACTGCAAACAAAAGATAACTTTCGTTTTTCTTCGAAACCTTTTTCTGCGATTAGTTCCCTACACGTTTCGTCGTGATTTTCAAACGTAGGCGATGTATTTAATGGTTCTAGGTCCAAACAAGTTTTAGACGTTCGCGATGTATTTGTTTTCATAACTTTTGGTGTACTGTGATAAAGAGGATATGATTTTCTTTTAACTCCTGTTTTCTTAGATGGCTTCTTCTCTTCTAGTGCATTTGTTTCAAAGTTATGAGAGGAGAAGGATGACTTTCTCGAGTCCTCATTTGATTTTTTTAAATTATCGGGAATAGTGAGTGAATCTTCCTGGCAAGTCTTTACCCCGAAAAGTTGCTTCTCAAATTTGTCAAGCATAATTTGTTCTTCGGAAATGTCCATCGATATATTCGACATGTTTACCAAATCTTCTTTCTCAGAAATAGATACATCTTTATTGTGCGACTGCACTTGTTCTATTTCATTCGCTGCTTTTCTATTTTCTTTGAACTTGTCGATAAAGGAGAAAAGTTGGGAAGGTTCCGTTGTGCTCGAATTTAGTTTATTTGCAAGAATCTCTTGCTCGTTTCTCGCAATACTTTTCTCGCAATCGCCAGTAATGACCCCGGACTGTATTTTCGGAGAAGTTTCTTTATTTGTATTCACGAGATTCAGACTGGATTGTCTTCGAATGATTTTCGATTTTTCAATGACATCGGCAAAGAAATGACTCGCAAGATCCTCAGGTTCCGGACTGTGTGAATGAGAATGAAAAGAATTAACTGCATGTACAGGCGGCTTTTCAAGTACCCTATTAAGAGAGCATGGAACAATTGAGCTGCTGTCAGTGTTTTGATCAAATTTGTTACTTTCTTCCACTACTTCATTCTCGACAGGCTTATCACTTTCCCTAAACTGGGGAAAACTTTCCAATTCTTTAAATAGTTCAGTATTAATATCAAGATCGTCTAAAATGTGTCTGTATTTTTCACTTTGTTGGACATCGGTTTCCTTCTGAGTATTATTAACTTCATTATTCGAAAGCGGAATTTCTCTTGTTTCTTGAGGTGTATCAATTGAAAGGTGTCTCAATTGTGAATCATTTTGCGGAGGTACTAAGTCTAGAGTTCGCAATTCAACAGTTTGAGAACTTGGTATGCTTTCGTTCATTTTTGAAGTATCTGGACTTAAATCTTTTAACTGTGAATCATTTTGAGGGGATATTAAAACTAAAGTTCTAATTTCAGAAGGAGGGGAATTTTGGAAGCTATCGTTCACTTTTGAAATTTCTAGACTCAAATTTCCTCTGGTTTTACTAATACCGGAATCAGATAAGTTTGTAATAAATGAATTTGCTACTTTGGAATCTTTAGAACATGGAACTGTAGTAGTGAATGAATCATCATTTCTCCTTTCTTCATTCTTAGATTTATTTAATTTACCAAAATAATAAAAGGGAATTTGCCTTTGTTTCTTAAACATTCGACCTAGTTTTTTAAATGGCACAAGATTATTAGTCTCCGAAGATTTTCTGGTTCTTTCCAATACACTTTTTGTAGAAATTGTAGATTTAAATTGTTGAACTTGAAACGACGGCCTTACAGAATCTTCGGGCAAACTCAAACTTTGCGACTGTAAATTCTTTACAAAACTGAAATCTTGATTCATGACATTGTCAACTTTCTCCGTTAAAACATTCACTTCTTCGGGACTGCTTTTTTCAATCATGCGTTTATTTTCACTTTTTGGATTTTCAATTTCTGAAGTTTGTTTCAAAATATTATTTGCAGTCTCACTATCAAGAGTGGCTTCATTATGATCATCAACTGTAAATTAAAAAAAATATATTTTTTAAAAATACTGTTAAATTTAATAACCAACTATAATAGTTTACTCTTCGAACAATAGTAGAAATATATATATATATAAAAAACTTACCCTTGAAATTAATATCAGCTTTCACGGCATTTTCAATTTTGTGAAAATGTTCAATAATATCATTTAATTGATTATTTTGAACCAGAGTTCGGCGTGTTAGTGTTCCATTACACATTGGACAATGTGCGCTCCGTTTTATCATCACTTTATTAATGCATTGTTGACAAAATGGATGTCCACAGCGAGGAGTGTAGGGATCAGTACAAACTCCGAGACTGTAACAGAAAACATTCTTCATTTTCTCTAGAAATTTAAGTAAATTTAAATCATCTCACCTCAATACATTTCGGAATTAAATTATCTTGATTTGCTGAGAAACGATTCTTTTTCAAGATTTTATATCCACTTACGACAATACGAGAAAACACATTAAAAACATTTTATTTATAAATATATAGAATTATATTTTGTAATAATTTTTGAATTGTGAGGACATTTTGCCACTTGCAACGAACTTGCAGGTTTTAACATTAGGTTAATTAAAAGTTGCGTTTAAAACTAATATGTAGCTAGAATACAGGGTTGCCACAAAAATTTAATTTTTCCCCCTGATTTCCAGACAAAATTTTGACTTTTTCCCTGACCCTATAAAGATAATAATATTCTGATTCACTCCAAAAATTATGAGATACTCAAAAAAATATTTTATTTTATTTATTTACTAATTTCTTTAATATTGTAAACTTATTCGAAAACATAATTTAAAAATTCGAATAATAATAATAACCATTTAATAATTCGAAAACATAATAAATTTATTCGAAACATTCGAAAACTTCTTTTTTAAATAAATATTTATTCATTATATTATGTTTTTTTATTGAAATTATTTAATTTATATTTGATTTATAATTCTTGTTTATTTTGTAATATATTTTATATATTATAAAAATAAACATAAAAAATGATAAAATAAATAGAAAAACAAATCAAAGTAATTTTTAAAAAAATAATTATATTTAAAATTCATCGCAAAAATTAAATTATTTTTTATAAATAATAAAATTCTCCTGAGGAATTCAATTATTTTCAATACAATTTGAATAAACTTTAAAAATCAAATATTTAAAATTATTAAGAGACACGATTATTTTAAAAAGTTGAAAAAATTCTCTTTACTTTCAAAATTTTCAATTATAACTATTAAAGAAACTCCATTTATTTAAAAAAGGTTTAAAGATATTCTTCAAAAGAATTTAATTCTGATTTTGCTTCCTCGTGAGGAAGCTTTGTAGTCGTTTAATTTACAAAATTTTTAAAAATCCTTTTAACAAATTTTCTTCTATATAGGACTATGTTATATAAGACCCTGAACAATTGTCCGGATGTATGTATGTGTGTGTGTGTATGTGTGTGTGTGTGTGTGTGTGTGTGTGGATCCCGATTTTTGTGAACACGATAACTCGAAGAGGTTTTAACGAATTTGGCTAAAATTTACCAGGTATATTTATCATAAAAATATCTCGAAATGGATTGATAGACTTTAAAAAATTCTCAAAAAATTTTTTTTTTTCAAAATTTTTTTTTAAGTTGGTTATTGAAGTGAATATATAATAAAATCTTATTCTTTGCATCAAGACGAATCGATTGGTAAATACAAAGTATACATTGTACAAGAATTTATAGAGTTAATCACAATTGAACCCCTTGATGCAAGAACCAGACATGGACCATTGAAATTAAATGGGCTACGTCTGGTTCTTGCATCAAAGGGTTCAATTAAAGCTGAAAAATTCGCATTTCTATCAAAAAATGAGTTCTTTCCGCAAAATTATGTTGCCGTATAAGAAAATCTTACTCATTTATTTCTAAAATCTTATTCTTTGCACCAAGACGGATCGATTGGTATATATAAAGTATATATTGTATTTAAATTAATAGAATTAAAACCAATTATAGGCAAAAAAATTTATTTTTTTTTAAATCTTGTTTTTGTACAATAAAATTTTATCATTTATTGAAAAATAAATCAAACATCTTATTCTTTGCATCAAGACGAATCGATTCATGTATATAAAGTATATATTAAAATAGCTTTTCGCAAAAATGACAATTCGCAAAAGTGACATTTCGCAAAATTGGCTTCTCGCAAAAATGACTATTCGCAAAAGTGCAGTTCGGTAAAATGACATTTCGGAAAAATGACATTTGGGGAATAATCATGCGTCCCTTGCTTGAAACTTGTTACTCGGGGGTTTTAAGGGTCGCTGATTACGAATCTAACATTAGTTTTCCAAAATTCAAAATGGCGAATCCAATATGGCGCACGACAAAATAAAAAATTAATTATAATGGCTTGAAACTGAATACTCGGGGGTTTTTAGGGTCGCTGATTACGAATCTGTCATTATTTTTTCAGGGTATTTATCGAAATTTGATTTCACCAAAAATTATCATACTGATGTCAGATTAACCAGTTTCAAACAAATTCAATAAATTTTAAAAAATTTTCCGCCATATTGAACCAGATATTTTGAATTTTGAAAGACTGATTTCAGATTCGTAATCAGCGACCCTGAAAATCCCCAAGTATTCAGTTTTAAGCCAATCTGATCAATTTTTTATTTCGTTGTCCGCCATATTGGATCCGCCAAGGGGTTAAAATTGAATTTTTATGAAGAATTTTATCAGAATTTTTAAAAACAATTGGGTCAGTCCATTATATTTCACCTGAAGCCGTTGCGGCCTATTTTTAAAAAAATCTCTTAATTTGTAAAAAATGATGTTGAATATCCATAGAATTCATTTTTGAGAATTATTTTATAAAATTTTTTGAATTTAACTTAGAATTTTAATTTTTAAATTGAGTTGGACAGAAAAAAGGTTAGATTGACAGTTATGTAAATTTAATAAAAAAGCATGGAAATAATTTAGATAATAGAAATTTCTTGAATGATATTTGTTAAAAATGAGCTAATTTACTTGTATAAATAGATTATTATGTAAACATACTCAAAATAATAGATAAAAATTGATTTTAAAACTTAACTATGAAATGTCAAAAGTCACTACATTTTAATTACATTTATCTAAAAAGTTTATAAATATTAAAAAATTTATTTCTATTTAATGTAAAGTATTTTCAATGTACTTTCATAATATGTGCTAACTTTTTAATCTTATAATATAGAAATATGAAAAATTTTACCTTTAATATTGAGTGTTTCATGATTTTCAGTGATTTTAATCACTTATTTCTTCTCAGGTGCAAGACTAAAAAATCCAATTTTTGTCTTAATATTTAAGTTTGACCTTCTTTTCCATTCTATTAAATTTTGGTGATGGAGAACGAGCTACTTTGTAGTTTTATTCATGTTTAAAAAATCTGCTTCCAAAAGCGAGTTTGTTGGTTAAAATGCAGGTAATTTTATAACACTGAAGTTGGCTATCTCAATAGTCATGCAAAAATCTACTTGCATTTTAACCAACAAATTCTTTTTTTCAGCAGATATTTTAAACTAAATTTAAAATGAAAAGTAGCTCGTTCTCCATCACCAAAATTTAATAGAATGGAAAAGAAGTTCAAACTTAAATATTAAGACAAAAATTGGATTTTTTAGTCTTGCACCTGAGAAGAAATAAGTGATTAAAATCACTGAAAATCATGAAACACTCAATATTAAAGGTAAAATTTTTCATATTTCTATATTATAAGATTAAAAAGTTAGCACATATTATGAAAGTACATTGAAAATACTTTACATTAAATAGAAATAAATTTTTTTATATTTATAAACTTTTTAGATAAATGTAATTAAAATGTAGTGACTTTTGACATTTCATAGTTAAGTTTTAAAATCAATTTTTATCTATTATTTTAGGTATGTTTACATAATAATCTATTTATACAAGTAAATTAGCTCATTTTTAACAAATATCATTCAAGAAATTTCTATTATCTAAATTATTTCCATGCTTTTTTATTAAATTTACATAACTGTCAATCTAACCTTTTTTCTGTCCAACTCAATTTAAAAATTAAAATTCTAAGTTAAATTCAAAAAATTTTATAAAATAATTCTCAAAAATGAATTCTATGGATATTCAACATCATTTTTACAAATTATGAGATTTTTTTAAAAATAGGCCGCAACGGCTTCAGGTGAAATATAATGGACTGACCCAATTTGAATTCCTGTGAAGAATTTTATTTGTAAAAATAATTGAATTCCGGAGAAAAATATTATTTATAAAAAAAAAATTTCTTGTGAAGAATTTTATTCAAAAATTTGTTTAAATAATTGAATTTCTCAGAATTTTGAAACAGTTTTTGAATATAATTAAATTCCATCGTGAAATTTCATTAAAAAATTGAAAATATTTTAAATCTGACGAAAAATTTTATTAAATTTTTTTTAAATAATTGAATTCATGTGAAAAATTTTATTTTTGAAAAGTTAAAATTTCTTAAATAATTGAATTGCTTCGAAGATTTTTATTTTTTACGAAAATAATTGAATTGTTCTAAAGATTTTTATAAACATTTTTGACAATATATGTATTCCTAGGAAGAATGTTATATTTTACGAAAATAATTGTGTGATCAATTTATTTTTTACAATTTTTCAAATTTATAAAGCATTTTATCAAAATTGTTTTAAATAATTGAATTCTCGAGAAAAATTTTACTATTACGAAGATAATTAATTTCTTGAGAGGAATTTTATTCAAATTTTTTTATATATAATTGAATTCCCATAAAAAATGTATTATTTGTGAAAATAATTGAATTCTTAAAAAAAATGAATAGAAAATAATTGAATTGTATAGGAAAATTTTATTAAAATTGTAATTTTATTAACTAAATCTTGTAAAGAATTTTGTCAAAACTTTTATAAATAATAGAATTTTTAAAAGAATTTTATTTAAATTTTTCGAAATAATTGAATTTCTGAGAACTATTTTTTTCTATTCTCTGCATTTACATTTGAATTCTTTGGAGAAACTTTAATAAAAAATTGGTAAGCAATTGAATTTTTGTGAAATTTTTATTAAAAATTTGTTTAAATAACTGAATTCTTTTGAACAATTTTATTAAAATAGGGTGAAGGAACCAGTTGTCGAGTCGACACCAGTTTTCGAGTCTTGGTGACTATTTATGTCTATAAATAGTAAATTATATTAAATACGTAAAATAAAATAATATAACAATATTCCCAATTAATATAGTTATTCATAAAAAAATGTTTTATTTTGTAATGTTAAATTGTTTTTCTTAAAAAAAATAATTTTATATGCATTACTCACGAAATCAGAGGAATGACACCATTTGCTATTTTCATTCGTAATGTGACTTGTGTTATTTAACTTCTAAGTACAGTTTATTTTTTAATATTTAAAAAACTTTTTTAATACCATTAAATTCTGAAGAAAACAAAGAGTATCTAACTGTTGATAATTACTTTATATGACTATTTATTAGTTTAAATAAAATTAATACTCGGTAACTGGTACTGAATTTTGATTGCTCTCCAATTGTCGATTTGTTGACTCGAGAAATGGGTTTGGCATATTTTATTATTTGACACCATTTTTCGATTGTCAATTAAAAACGTAAGCATAAATATTATCTGTCATTTTCGTAGGTTAATATATGGTTAGGTTTTTGTAAACATCTATTAATTAATTTAATTTTCTAAATACTTGAATTTGGATAAAAAAATTTGTATTGAAGAATTAGCCTCGACAAATGGTATTTTACAAACAATTTCTTTTATATTAATTATTTAATATATAATTTATTTTTTTAACGAAATTTTATCAAGTATACTAGCTTAGATACTCCTCTTACTTAAATTATATTTTTTAATTTACATGGATGGTTTTGATTGTGATTAAAAAATGTGTAAATGTTGAACCTCACTATTTCCTCGACAAATGGTTCCATCACCCTATTAGATATTAAAAATAATTGAATTTCGGAGAAGAATAAAATTTATAAAGATAATTGAAATTTTGACAAGAATTTTTTTATATTTTTGAACCTAATTGAATTTAGGCAAAGAAGATTATCACTTTTGAAAATAATTAAATTTCTGTAATCAGTTGTTCTTAAAATTTCTATTTAAATTCATTAAAAATGGAAACTTTTTGAAATTTCAAATTGAAACCTTTAAAGTTCATCTATTTATATGAAGATTGTAAACGCAACTCTTTTGAAATCCAATTAATTTTGAAATTTTTAATTAAAATTATTATTAGAGAAGAATTTTAGTTAAAAAATTGATTTAACTTTATTAGTTTTTCCTTTAAGAAGAATTCTCTAAAGCGGTATTTAATTGTATAGAATTAAACAAGTTTAATTACTTCAACATTTTATTTTATTTTATTGCAAGTAAATAATTATAGAAAATTTTTAGATAAATGAGTAAATTTTTTTGGTATTTATAATGTAATATTTAAATGTACAGAAGAAAAATAAATTTAATGAAAAGTTTCAACTTAACCTAACTTTCTTAAGAGGTTTTTCTCGTTTTTCTCAAAAAAGCAAATATACTATTACTTTTAATCGCTCGTTTTTCTTTCTCATTTAAAGTCGTACAATGACGAGGAAACTAAAACATTGTTTCCACTCTGATAGACAAATTAAAAATTTAATAATAAATAAAATAATCTGTTTACCAAATACTGCATGTCAAAGATTTCCTGATTAAACTTAAAGCATCAGACAACTTTCGAATTTTATTTTCTCTTTTCAAGAACATTTTTCACTATTTCTTAATTTATTTCTCTTTAAGAATCATTTATAAAATTCCGAAATTCTTTGTCTACAACTTCTCATAATGAACAATTCAAAACTTATTCAACTATTCGAAACTGTCAAAACTTTGTCCTTTGTTGATTAGATGGCCAAAGCCAAACACAAATTCGGATTAAGGCCCAAGCACAATAAACTCGTCGTCCGGCTTCTGTTTTAGGGGGCTTTCACACTTGCTCTATGAAAAACTCACGAATGAAAATGCAACAAATGATTGAATTAAAACTAAAAGAGATCTCGAATTAAAAATACATACATATTTTATTGGGGAAAAGGGAAAAGTGATAATTCATTTTATTTGAAGCAAGCGGACGTAGGTATGAATGTTTCACTATATTTGTGATAATGAATTTAATATTGAAGAAGCACCTTAAGCACCCTTACATTCTCGATACACTAGACAATCTTATATTGTATTGTTTTATGCTTTTAATTTAAAGTTTTTTCTGTGCCAACTTCACGGTAGTAGTTTTCATTTATTGTGATTGTGGCAATTGGGCAAAACATTGTTGATGAAAAAGAAAATATTCATTCTCGTTTATTTTTTCGTTTGCCATGACTTCTTCAAAGTAAAAGGAGTTATTACTGCTTTTAAATGGCTATGACACTGAGTACACAATTGTACAGTGTAATTATTGTTATCTTTGTTTCTCTCACAGACGCAATTGATAACACGTACAAAGTTGATTGCAATAATTTACGACTGGGCCAGTATATCTGCCCCCATCCTTATTATGACTTTATTGATGTGAAGACGCAACAATTAGAAGGTTGCACAAAGGAAAACAAAGCTAAAGGTATAAAATCTTACAGCTTCTTGCATTCCCAGAAAATCCTCTCGTTTCTTTAATATAAAATGTCATTCATATTTTATAATTATATAATATTTGTAAATAATTCGGTAGTCGTTTAGTTTTTAATTTTTTTAATCATTGTTTTGAAATATTTAACCCTGAAATTAAATGATTTATTTTAAAAAATTATATAAGAAAAAAAGCTAAAAGCAGGGTGGCCACATGTCAGTAAAACAAAATTTTTGGCAGTAAAGTCAGGGAAATTTAGAAAATTGAACTTTTTTTCGACTTATTTTGAAAAATTGCGACTTTCTCGACTTTTCTTCCAAATATTGCAACAAAATATAATATTTTTTAGTGTTAAAAGTAACTCATTCCGATTTTTATAGTGCGAAAAATAACTATAAACAAATCTTTCAAAAATTGTTTTTGAATCATTTTCCTATTTAAATTTTCAAAATATACAATTAAAAAGGTTTTGAATAATTGAAATTTTGTAAAATTTAATTGAAAATAATTAATTTTTTTCAAGTATTAGAATTTTTGTTACAACTTTTGAAGAATTTTAATTGCAAATTAATAAATTTTGCAAAAGAATTCAATTATCTGTTTAAAAAAAAAATTTAATAAAATTCTACGCAAACCTTTAATTAATTTTATAAAATAATAAAAATTTTAAAGGAATTCAATTATTTACAAATTTTTTATAAATTTCTTCGCAATCATTCAATTATTATTTTCATAAATAATAAAATTTTTACAGGGATTCAATTATTATCGTAATAAAAAATTTCTTTTTTAGGAATTCAATTATTTTCATAAATAACAAAACTCATTGCAGAATTTTAAATATTTTAAATACAATTTTAATCAAATTTCTCGAAAAATGTAATTATTCTTAAAAATCTTAAAAAAGGCAGTTATTCAATAAATTGTTTTTTTGTACTTAAATAATTGAATTCTAATGAATTTTCTCATAAAAATTAATTTAAAAATAAATTTCAGTTAAAACTTTAGATAATAATTGATTATTAATATCAATATAGCGTGAATTTTTAGAAATAATTGAATTTTGAAACTAATTTTTTTTGAAAAAGTTTGATTCAATTTTATTTATATTACTTAAAGTTTTTATTTTTTCTAATATATATTTAATTGAAGAATTTACGAATAATTGAAATTTTGTAAAATTGAATTGTAAACAAATAATTTTGAAAATTCTCAAAGAAGTTTTGCAAAAAATATTAAAAATAATGTATTTATAGAAGAATTTTAGTTAAAAACACGAAAAAAATTTAGTTTTGGAAAAGTTACAAATTATTGCATAAATTCAACTCTCTTCAAGAGTATTAACATTCTTCGTAAAAATTAAATATTGTTGAAAAATAATAAAATTCTTCGTAGGGATTCAATTATTTTCAAATATTTAAATAATATCAAAATATTTCATTTCTTTTAAGGAATTTAATTAAAATTTTAATGAAATTTATTATGTTAAAGAATTTTATAGTAATTTTTGAAAATAATTAAAAACTTTTTGAAGAATTTTATTAAATTTTTTAAAAATAATTTAATTCCTGAGAAGAATTTAAATAATAATTTTTGAAAACAATTGAATTCATGAAAAGAACTTAATTAAAATTTTTGAAAATAACTGACTTCTTGAGAAGAATTTTTAAAAAATTTTTAACAATAATTTAATTTTTGAGAAGAATTTCCCTATCTATTTATAAAGATAATTTAATTCTTGACGAGAATTTTAAAAAAATTTTGAAAATAATTTAATTTCTGCAAAATATTTCATTACTTTTCAAAAGAATTGAATTCTTTTGATGAATTTTGATATTTATCAAAATAATTGAATTTTGGAAAAGAATTTTATCAAAATTCCTCAGAATAATTGATTTTATGGGAAGACTTTATGCGATTTTGTTGTTTATCAAGCTAATTGAATTCTTTTGCAAAATTACTTAAAAATTTCTGAAAATAATTGATTTTCTGTGACGAATGAAATGTTATTTATGAAAATATTTGAATTATTGCAACGAATTTTATTGTTTTATTGAATAATTGAATGTTTCTTAAAATTGAATTCTTTCCTCAAGTTTTAATAAGATTTTCAATAACAATTGCATTTTTCAAGGAATTTATTTAAAATTATATTAAACATATATTTGAAATTTTGCGATGAAAATAATTGAATTCGTAAATGAAATTTTATTATTTATGAAAATAATTGAATCTTTTCGTAGAATTGTATAAAAAGTTTTTTCTATAATTAAATTTGTTGATAAATTTTATGAAAATAGTAAATATTGAAAATTATTGAATTGCAAAAATCTTTTGAAAGTAATTGAACTTTTGCAAAGATTTTTATAAATTTTTGAAAATAATTGGTTTTTCGGCGAAAAATTTTGCTATTTGTAAAGATAATTGAATTCTTGTCGAGATATTCTTGAAAATTCTTGGGATGAATATTGTAACTTATGAAAGAATTTTATTAAAATAGAAAAAATTTGTGAAGGTTTTGTATTAGAATTAGTGTCAGTTTCATAGTTTACGAAGCTAAATTTGATGTGAATTCATCATTAAAAGATAAAAGATAAAAAATTGCGTAAATTTAGGGGAAATTTTCAAAATAGGGTATGATTTGGGGCCAAAATAAAAAAAAGGGGACTTTTAGGGAAATAGGGGACAGACTGGGAAGCCTGTATTATTTTAAGTTTTTTTTCTAATATATATTTAATTGAAGAATTTCCGAATAATCGAAATTTCACGTAAAATTAAATTGTATGCAAATGGATTTGAAAATTGTCAAAGAAGTTTTTCGAAAATCATTAAAAATAATCGATTTAAAGAAGAATTTTAGTTAAAAATTCTTGAAAATAATAATTAAATTGATAATGAATAGTCGGTATCTTCATGTTTTATAGTTATGAAAAATTGAATTTATAGTTTTAAGTAAAATGTTCTATTATTTGACTCGGACTATTTGTATTTTTATTAGTATTTTGTCCGTATTTTTTCATTCTTGGTCCGTAAAGTTCGTATTTTTAAATACTTTCACTGGTTCGAGCCCTGGGTTTTCTATGCGTTCTATTTTGACATTTAATTAATAAGAGAGTTATGGAAATTATCTAAGAGGATATAACTCTTTTTCAGTTTTATGCTTAGCAGCAGATGGTCTTATTTGTACAGAATCGGAAAACAACACTTTTAAAAAGACCATCCCTTGTAAGTGGACGTAAGTATAAACATTATTAGATTATGGTATTTATAAGAAAGAAGACATGTTTTCTAAAAAATAATTGAATAACTTTCTTACAGTAATGGATACTCATTTGAGACATCCCTTCTACTTTCAATTTTCCTTGGTATGTTCGGAGTGGACAGATTTTACCTCGGATATCCGGCACTAGGACTATTGAAACTTTGTACATTAGGTTTTCTATTTCTGGGTCAATTTTGTGATATAATATTAATAGCAACTCAGTCTGTTAGACCCGCGGATGGATCGCATTATGTAATGTCATATTTTGGAGCAGGAGTGACTGTTGTTAGGAGTAATAATTTTACATATCGATTGCCGCAACAAGACTGGTAAACGATTTTTTATAAGTATGAATGTGGATGTGAATATGTAAACAAAGTTTATTTATAAAAATACAAAATTTATTTATCAATGACGTCTGTTATCATTTCTACTCCGTCTCAATGTGAATATCTCTTACAACTTATACAAATTTTAAGGGATTTAGATAAAAATTGGATAAACTTTCCAAAGGTTTTTTGGGTCACTGAATACGAATTTGGCATTAGATTTTTAAAATTCGGGGGGTTTTTTGGACAGTAAAAATGTTAAATTGTTTTAGAAATTACGTAAGAATTAAACCTAATTAATTGAAATCGCATATTTATTATCAGTCATACGAACTGAAAATTCATTCGAAAACGTTTATTTTCGACGATTTCTTTTTTTCCACTAGGCAAGCGTTATGACCTTCTAGTCATATTGTTTGTTCTATTGTTTCTAAATAACAGTAAATTACTCAACTGTGTAACATGAACGAAAACACATTCAGATTCATTGTTGTGATGGCACACTTCTTTCTCATTTGTCAATGAGTTCGTCCAATTGTAACCCTGTTTTCCTATCTTTTTTGTGATTTTTGTCTTTTGTTTAGGCATTTTTAGTTTCACCAAAATACATATTTTATTGTCGCTTGGCAGTATTTGCAGAGGTATTTGCAGTATTTCATTTTTGAAATTCATAATACAGAAAATTATGAGAATAAATTATTTTCTGAACCGTATGCGGCAGAACTAAAATTAATATATTTGAATTGAAAATAGAACAGGGTTGCCACAGGTCAAGAAAGTCAGGGAAATTAGAATTGGTCAGGGAAATCAGGGAAAAATCAGTTTTATTAAAAGTACTGGAAAAAATTAAATTTTTAGAATTTTATTTACATGAAAATTCTGAATTATGGTGTCTTTTTTGTTTGCCTCATAATCTATGAAATTGACAAAAGTTCTAATACAATCCCTTTAATTTTTTCTATTTCTCATAATAATTTCTTTTTAAATAACTTAACTCTTGAATATCTGTCATCAAATTATTACTTTTAAATTATTAATTAGTGAATAATTTTACTTAAAGATTTCAAAATTACAGTGGAACCTATGTTATCCGAACCCTCTATTATCCGAACCAAAAATCATTTTATCCGAACTTCTTCTTGACCTTCCGAATCTTAACATTTATTTTCTCTATTTTTTTATCATTCATATTTTCGCGGGACCTTTTTAGCATCTTTCAAAGCAAAATAACGAAATTTATGCCAAAAAATCTTAAAAAATCATGAATTCTCTGTTTTATTAATTTATTATTATAAATTAATATATATTTACATTTGCAATATACTTATATATCTTTAAAAAATGTATTAAATTAAATATATATAGTTCAACTGTCCAATTTTTTTACTTTAATTATGAAAATCATTAAAACCTCTATTATCCGAACCCGGCCTTACCTAGGTTAGTTCGGATAATCGAGGTTCCACTGTAATTGGATTTCAAAAGAGTTGGGTTTACAATCTTCTTATAAATAGATGAACTTCAAAGGTTTCAATCTGAAATTTTAGAAAATTTCAATTTTTAATTAATTAAAATAGAAATTTTAAGAACACCTGATTTCAAAATTTCAATTATCTTTATAAATAATAAAATTCTTCTGCAAAATTCAATTATTTTCAAAAAATTTTATAAAATTCTTTTAAAAATTCTATTATTAAAAAAAATTTTGGCAAAATTCTTTACAAGATTTAGTTTAATAAAATTTTCCTGCATTTAAATTATTTGCAATACAATTCTTCTTAAGAATTCAATTATTTTCACAAATAATATTTTTTTATGGCAATTCAATTATTCAAAAAAATTTGAATAAAATTCTTCGTAAGAAATCAATTATTATTTTCATAAAAAAAAAAAAAAAAAAAAAAGAAAAAAAAATTTGAGAATTAAAATGCTTTAAAAATTTGAAAAATTATAATATAAAATTAATCATAGAATACAATTATTTTCGTTAAATATAACATTCTTCCTAGGAACACAATTATTATAAAAAATGTTAATAAAAATCTTCGAAACAATTCAATTATTTTCGTAAAAAATATAATTCCTCGAAGCAATTCAATTATTTAAGACATTTTAATAAAATTCTTCACAAGAATTCAATTCTTTACAAAAAAAAAAAATTTTTAACAGGAATTCAATTATTTTAAAAAGAAATTTAATAAAATTTTTCGTCAGATTTCAATTATTTTCAATTTTTTAATGAAATTTCTCGATAGAATTTAATTATTTTCAAAAGGTTTTTAGAAATTCTGAGAAATTCAATTTTTTTTAAAGTAATAATAATTCTTGTTGCAAGAATTCAATTATTTTCATAAATAACAAAACTTATCGCAGAATTTCCATAATTTTTTATACAATTTTAAATTTTAAATAAAATTATAGAAAATTGCATTTATTCTTACATTTTTTTTAAATTCGCCAAAAGAATTCAATTATTTTAAAAATTTTTTGATAAAAATTCAATTTTAAGAAATAATCAATTATTTTAAAAAAATTTTATTTTTGTATCTAAGTAATTGAATTTTTGAAAAATTTTCTAATAAAAATTGATTAAAAAAATTAATTTTACTTCAATTTTTAAATTATAATTGAATTTAAAAATCTTAATTCGCATGGAATCTTATTAATGATCAAATATTTATTCAAAAATGAAATTATTGATGTTTTCGAATAATTTTACTTTTGAATAAATTTGTAAATAAATTTAATAGAAAATTTTTTTTCGTATCTAATAATTTTTGGATTGAATTAAAATATTCTTTAGGGTCAGGGAAAAAGTCAAAATCATTCTGGGAAAAGTCTGGAAATCAGGGAAAAACAAATTAAAATTTTTGTGGCAACCCTGTAGAAGTAGATTTAAGATGAAATTGACGATTTTGCCCAATGGTATAATTGAAATTAACGAGAATTCGGTTAAATGGCAATTGAATTATATTCAAGGGCCTCAATTAATCTCAGAGACAGTAATTTTAATACTATTTACATGGGAACGACAATGCAATAAGAGTAACTAATGTTTAATAAAAAATATTTATTTTGCATAAAGGTATAAAAGTTTTGTAAAAATGTAAATTAAATTTAAATATAATACGAAGCTAAAAAGAATAAAATTTAATATCACTCCTGACATTTATGAAAAATAATTTCTCTTTCTTTTGTATTTACTTGGCTATTGATTTTGTAATATCGATAGACTTTTTTATTGCAGTAGAGACATAATTCATCGGACGGATGTGAAGCATTGAAATGTTTCTGAATTTCCACTTCGTTTCCAATTACTTTTATCTTACAGTTATCACAAAAAACATGGATTTCTTTAAAGCGCTCGTGAACCGCATCCGTGACAACAGATCCATGTTCAAGTCCCCCAGCACTTGATGACTCTCCAAAATTTCTCAAATTTGCTGGTATTTCATCCTTGCAGTTTATTGAGTTATTTTCCCTTGGCATTTCTATCAAGTGAAAAAATAATTACTGATTTTTATTAGTTAATCAAAATTAAATGAGTATATTGTTATAAAAAAGTAAACGTATACATTTTCAAGGCACGCACAGTAAATTCAATAAACAAATTCCAAAGTTGGGATTGAGAAAAAATTAAAATCTAAATTTTTAAAGAATGATAATCCTCTAAAGTTAAGTTATACGCGAATTGATTAAAAATTGTTTTCTGATCCCTTGAAATCTAATATACGTGAATTTTACTGTATCAGCACATTTCTGAAGAGAAAGTAGAAAAATTGCAAGGAAAAATATTTATCTTCACAGATTTCATTTTAAATCTACGAAAAAGTGCTTCTTTTGTAGATTTAAAATATATGTAAAAATATTAAAAATTTATGGACTGCGAGACATTATTAAATATAATCAATTAAAATCAAAATAAAAAATACTTTTTTTAATTTATAACAAAATAAGAGGCGAGAATAGTCAAAATTTAGAAATTTCATTTTTAATTAGAAACCATTATTTATAATAATTGTAACTCTCCACATATTTTTTCTTTAGTTTATTACGGTAGAATATTTTCAAAAAATAAAAAAAATTAAATTTTTCAAATTTAATTGTAAATATAACCCATGATTTCTCTGAAATTTTAATAAGTCTAAAAAAGTAAATTATTATTTGGTTTATTCCAAGATAATTAAATCTTAAAAAATTATAAAAATTAAGTAGTTTTTAAAAATATTTTTTGCAACACTAACCTCTAAAGTTGAATTTTGTGTAAAGTGTCACTTTTCTGAACAGTGCGTAAAAGTTACTTTTACGCACTGAAATTACTTTTACGCACTGTTGGGTCTTTTTAATGATTATGTACCTATGTATACATTTGTATATTGTATAAGAAGTGGTGAACGAGAGTGATTTAAACTCTACTATACTGTAGCTTACTATACTATTCTGTAGAGTACTATACTAACTATTGTAGTACTACTATAGTACTATTCAAGTTAGTATAGTACTATTATATTTATTATAGTACTATTATAGTTAGTATAGTACTATAGTATATAGTATAGTATAATAATATAGTACTATAGTAGTACTATATTAAGTATAGTACTAATTTAGTAGTACTATAGTTAATATAGTACTACTATAGTAGTACTATAGTTAGTATAGTACTACCATAGTACTATAATTAGAATAGAACTACTATAGTATTACTATAGTTTGTGTAATACTACTATAGTTAGTATAGTACTATTTTATTTAGTATAGTATAGTATAGTATATTACTACTATAGTACAGTATTACTATAGTACTACTATAATTCTCTTTCGTCATACTTTAACCTTGAAAGTTGCATTTTCAGAGCTGACGTTAGGAAAATACATATGTTATGTGTGTATACATGTATATATTGTTTAAGTTTTATTTATTTAAATATTTGTATTAAAGGGAGGGGGGTGCAGGTGAGTGTTGCAAAAAATGTTGTATGACACTCGTGCATAAAGTTGATTATACTCGTGTGATCACTCACTTTACGCACTTGTATCATAAAATTTATTATTTTCAGAACTTTTACTTACATATTTTCAAAAATTCAATTATATACCTACCAAAAATAATATTTTAGAATTATTTTTAACATTTTGGAGAAAAAAATGTCAAAATATTTCAATAAAATTCATCAGAAAATTAATTAGTTTTTTTAAATAATACAAAAACTCTTTTAAGACATTGATTTGTTTTTAAAAATTACATTAATAGTTATTTATAAAATTAGAAGCTAATTTTCATTTTTAAATTTACGTTTAAAGATTTTTCATTAAAATTTTTGATAATTCAATTATTTTGAAAATTTGCAATTAAAATTCTTCAAAAGTTGATTTTCAAAAATTCTAACAAAATACTTGAAAAAAATTTATTGTTTTTAATTAAATTTTACAAAAATTTCAAATATTCAAAACCTTTTTAATTGTATATTTTGAAAATTTAAATAGAAAAATGATTCAAAAATAATTTTTGATAAATTTGTTTATAGTTATTTTTCGCACTATAAAAATCGAAATGAGTTACTTTTAAAAAAATATGATATTTTGTTGCAATATTTGAAAAAAAAGTCGAGAAAGTCGCAATTTTTTAAAATAAGTCGAAAAAAATCTCAATTTTCTAAATTTCTCTGCAAAAATTTTTTCTTCCTGACATTTCCCTGACTTTAATGACATGAGGACACCCTGGTGAATTTTACAATATACAAAAGTAAATTTCAAAAAAAGAATTAATAAAATTAATTTGGAACTTGGAAAAATTTCCTTAAAAAATAGTAAAATTTAATATTAAAAATTGTTATTTTCCGAACAACTTTTACTATTTTTAAGGACAATTATTTTTGTAAAAATTAGAAAAATTTACGGCAAAATATTGAAATTTATTATAAAAATAAGAATTTTTAATAGCTAATTGTAATGTTTGAGGAAAATTTGAATAAATTTTATTAAAGAATCAACATTGAAAATAATAAATTTTGCTATTAAAAATCTTTATTTCCAGAGTAAATTTTTTAATATCCGTTGTAATTTTTATTTAAAATTAGTAAAATATACTTTGAATTTAGTAAAATTTATTCCCGAAATAATACAATTTGTCAAAAATTCCAAACAATTATTGGATTTTTCTTAGAAGTAAAAGTTATTTTATATTTGTTACCTTTTATGGAAAATTTACAAGTTTAAAGACACTGAAAAATAAGATAAAAAGATTTCTAAGTTTTAGGGGGATTTTAATAGATAAAAAGGGGAATAAAAGTGTGATCCCTGTAAAGCTTATAATTAAGTTTTACTTTTTATTCACATACAAATTATCTCATTTGCTCAGTAAATTCCTTCATGAACAATTACTTTTAGAGAAAATAACCACTTGTTCAGTTTCTTATAGGTTAGAATTGATTTTTGTTTCTAATAAATTATTAATAACTTTTCGAAAATAATTGTGCCTCATTTGTTCATTTTTAAAATTTCATAGCTTAGTACTTGAAATAGATATGAACAAAAGTTTGAATATTGTACTTCAAAAAGAATTTTTCTTATTTTCATATTAAAAAGTTAAAAGTTCATTATTTTGACAGTTTTCTGTTTGTATAACTAATCTATTATATTTTTTGAGGCGAATAAGTTAACTACTTGATTAAACAAATTTTAGTTTCGATTTCTTGTGAAAATAATTATTTTAATTTGTCCGTAAAATATTATTTAAAATCTACGAGAAGGGTGTAATTTTAAAGATTTTAATAACAATAATTTAACCCTCAAGTTTCAAGTTATAGTTATTTTTCATCAGTTACATACCAAATTCGTTGCTCTTCTTCTCCTCTCGATAAAACGTTGAAATGCCTTTAAAAAATAACTCTGCTTCAATCAATAACTATTAAAGTTTATATTAAATAAATTTATCTCATTATATAGTGAGCAAGTGTTGAAAATTAAAATTTAAGAATGTTGGAATGTTAAGAACTTGCAATCAATGCAAAGCAAATATTATTGTGAATGTGAGGTTAGAACACACACACACACACATATTTATTTCGCATACATGTACATAAAGTACATCACACAATGGCACATAAAGTAAATGATTATCAAAACACCATTGTTTAAATTACATGTTTTGATCGCTCTAGTCAAAAAGTTGAGAAATTCGTCTTTGTTTTAAATTCTTTATTTGCAAAGTAAATGTACAAACCAGCGAAAACCTTTTTCAACTTTCAAACTCGAAATCTAGATTTTAAAGGTTAGAAATTTTTGAAGTAACACAACTGAAAAATCGTCAAATTTTATAAACTTATTTGCGTAGAAAATAATAATTTATTCAAGTCTTGCGATGAAAATGACATAATTATTTTGGGTTCAATTGAGAAGCGCGTGTCTAATACAAAGAAAGATTTGTAATGAAATGTATAGAAAAGGTGAACTTGTCAATTGCCCGGCGTTGTTTACAAAATATTCACAGCAAGGAACTATATGGGTTTGATCTTGAAGTGAAGTCCAATAAGCGAGAAAACCAAGCACCTGAGATCTTGGACGAGATAATAAAAACAACGAAGACCTTCAGGATCCCTTGACTGATTGACGTCGAGGAGAGAGCCGGTCTTGGAGGTGGTGAAGGAAATGTGCTCGTCACCAATGACAATTTCGAGCTCTTGCCGTCCAACTCGGTCGGGCTGAGGCCACAGAGAATCGTCCTCTTGCATTATCTCGGAATCCTGAATTATTCTCTTCAGCTCCTCCATCACGCACTGATGAACGTAAGCTTCCTTCCGAATCATCGTGTCATTTTTGTAATTGGAATTATTCGCGTAACGTAGTTTGCCGTCGGGCCGAAATTCAAACTCCAGGAACTCGTGTCCGAACTTTCCTTTATGCCCCACGTAGTAGCGAATGTAAAAGTCTGTCGACATCTTTGGAAACTTTATTTCTTATTAATTACTATTTTCAAATGGAAAACAAATGTTTGATAATTTTTATAACCTGGTTAGCTTTGAGTATTCAAACCATAGAAACAACTGTCTAGCTCTAGACTCTCACGCGATTTTTATTCTAAAGTCGCTTCCACAAAGAGACCTTTGAAATGTTACACATTAAGGGTGCAGTCACATGGCACAGTTTTGTGTTGCGTTTTGTAACTAGGCCATGAGTGTGAGAGAGATGGAGATAAATATCTATATTTAATTTCTGTCGATAAATACGTTTATCGACAAAAATTAGATCTCATAAAGAATTTATCGATTTAACAGATCTCAGGGTGGAGTCCCATGACAGCGTTTTGCGTTGCGTCGTAATGGGAGAGAAAAAGACGCAAATATACGTTTGCTGCATTCTCTCTCATTACAACGCAACGCAAAACGCTGCCATGGGACTGCGGCCTCAAGGTTAAATTATTAGGGTGGAGTCCCATGACAGCGTTTTGCGTTGCGTCGTAATGGGAGAGAAAAAGACGGAAATATACGTTTGCTGCATTCTCTCTTATTACAACGCAACGCAAAACGCTGCCATGGGACTGCGGCCTAAGGCTGGAGTCCCATGACAGCGTTTTGCGTTGCGTTTTGTAACTAGGCCATGAGTGTGAGAGAGATACAGATATATGTTTGCTCTATTTGCACTCATGGCCTAGTTACAAAACGCAACGCAAAACGCTACCATGGGACTCCAGCCTAATGCTGGTTCCACATATACAAAACGCGCGCGTATCGCGTAGGCGCGTAAGGCTTGCGTATGCGTATAGTCTACTACTAAGGCCTTTCTCCAATAGGTTTTAAAAACTCTGCGTCTGCGTCGGTTGCTATAGCAACACATGCTAAAATCAACGCAACGCAGTCATTCGCACACTTTTTAAAACCTATTGGAGAAAGGCCTTAAGTCCAACGCACAATAGGTTTGCAAAAGTCGTTGGCGAACGAGACGCATGCGATAGACAAGGACACAAATATATCTCTGTCCTTTTCTAACTCAGGCTTTGCGTTCGCGAACGATTTTCGCGAATCTATTGTATTTGTGTCCTTGTCTATCGCATGCGTCTCGCGAACCTATTGTGCGTTGGACTTAAGACCAACGCACAATCTTCGCGAAAGTGGTTCGCAAACGAGACGCATGAAATAGAAAAGAATACAAATATATCTCTGTCTTTTCCTAACTCATGTTTTGCGTGTACGAATGACGTTCGCGAAGCAGTTGAGCAATTCCATGGCAAATGATCTGAAGAATTTTCGATGATTTTAGCAATATTAATAATACTTTCTGAATTTGTTCCTTCACATACATGGAATAAAAATGTATTAAATTTTTTTCAAAATTTTTAAGTTACTGCTTCTCAAAATTTTGGTCGGTTTTTCAAAAAAGGCATGTAACTTTTTTCCTTATTAACCGATTAGATTAGGATAATTTTTTTTGAAAAATACTCATGATAAAAAGTACTTTTAAAAAAATCTTTTTTGCCCGAAAAAAAATTTTAAAAATTTTTGGAATTTAAATTTTGAAAAAACTACCTCTTTGATTTGGAAAAATTTTTTTGTAGTTATACCTATTTGTCTATAAAGTAGAGAATACATCCTGTAAATTTAATCGAGAGATCGATAGAGAATTTATAATTACGAAGATTTAGAAAAACAGAAAAATCGTTTTTGTATTTAATAATAATAGACATATTATAAATAAATAATGAAAAATAATATTTTTTATATTATACAATGCATATAAAATTTTTTTAAATTCTATGTGAATATATTTAAATTGGGGACAAAATTGCAAAATTTATAGAGGAATTTAATTGTTTTTGTCTTTAATGTTTTTAAAATATTTCCATACTACAATCTTTGGTTTTGTCATTTTTTAAATCTTTAAATATATAGCCTCTATCGTAAACAAAATAACAACTACTAAATAAAAACACAACGCCGGACCATCGCATTTACGAAAGTGTAATGGCAAAAGTGAGGTTATGTTGTATTCTCTCAAATTCTCAGAGAATATAATGTGGAATCATACGACTTTTGGAAAAACCATTCTTGTCTTTCTCTCTCCTAAGACAGAGGCATAAGTTTGTCTCACTCTAAATTTTCCGTTTTTGGAAAAAGTGGGAAAAAGTAGAGTGAGACAACAGACAAATTGAAACCTCTGTGATAAGAGAGAGAGAAAGACAAGAATGGTTTTTTGAAAAGTCGTGTGACTGTGCCCTTAGGTTTGTTTACATGGCGTGTGATCCGTGTGATATTACCATTAAATGCAAAATTCTACTCGACTGTCCTCTGGAGGGATTGAGCGAAAGCATTTCTCTTTCTTTATATTTGTATTCTTTAGTTCTCTTGATATTCTTAGTTTAATGCATTATAATACATACTGCAGTGTTTTTGTGGGTGTTACATGATTTTTTCTATGCTATTGTTGACAGTCACCTCTAGATATTTATTCTGATTCTGAAAAAGAATTCGCGTTGGCGAGTGCGGTTTTAATTAAGAGAGAAAATAAGCTGAAGCTTATTCAAGTTCTGGCGAGTACTTTAAGTACAGTTTCCGTAAAAACGGTCTGGCGGTCGATTAGATTTGTAAACGGTAGCCATCTTGTTCAGAACCCCATGTTACATAGAGAATATTCTTTCATCGTTTACCCACTATTTTCTGCTAACAGTTGCTTTATATTATTTTCATTACTTTTGGACTATGCATGAATTATATCATATTACATAGCAATGGCTGCGACGAGAAAGTTGCAAGGTGAGATATTTTTCTAATTTGTTTACGTTTATTGTGAATTTTCCCATCTACTTTATTTTTATTCAAAACACTCTCTGTCTTTACTCCTCTCCGTCTCCACCGTCTCCACTCTCTCTCTCCTCGAGATGCTATTCTTTTTGTTTACACTTTTTTACTTTTTTTACACAAATATTCAATCTTTTAAAAATCTTTTTCCTTTTAAAAATCCAAATTAAACTCATTTCGATTTCAGTTTCAATTTCAATTTTCATTGTTTGAGGAACATGTTTTTCTCTTTACCTACTCTATTCTCTTTATAAGTTTGACATTTGAGTATTTTTCTTAATCTCTCCTACTCTCAATGCATAAACGAGAAATGTTTGCTTTTTCAATTTAACACCTTTGTGTTACCTGTCAAATTTTTACTCTAAATGCAATACAAGTTGTTGAGATACTTTTAAACCGCTTCATCGAATTGGTCTAATAAAAGTCATAAGAATGAAAATTAAATCTCATTGAAATAATTGTCTTTTATTTTATAAAAGAGATTTTTACTGCGATTGGAAGATGTTTGTTACGCGGGAACTTTTCAAGTTGACGCTGTTATTTATTTGAACATAATTAATGTCAATTACAGTCGAGAGTGTACTCAACATAAAGTCAAATTCCGCCTTTGGTTTTTTGATATTTAAATACGAGAAAGTAGTCCAGAAAGACGAGAATTATTTTATGTATTATTTTAAAAAGCGTGTATGCAATAAACAACGGAGTTTTACAAAATGCATAGTAAGGTCTTGATGATAGTGCTTGAAGCGGTAAATTTGAACAATGCTTCTTGCACTTAAAATAATAAGAATTTTATCATAATTTTTTTTAACCGTTTCATTCAATTCTGTTTTTTTAAAATACAGTTTGAGTCCACAGTGTACTGTAGATATAAAATTGTTTACATAAATTATAACCTCAATGTTCCAGTTACTGATACGCTTTTAAGAAAATTTAACAATGGAAAATATTCCATTTCAACTCTTTAGTAATAATTGATTACTTTTTTCTAAAAAATATATTTTTAAACAGACACTTCTTTTTCATATATTAATTATTTTGAGAGTTTAATAGGGTGATTCTCTGAAAAAGGACAAATTATTTGTGCACTGTTGCAGACGGCGTTTTTGTTATAAAATAGTAAAATAAAAAGTAATTAAAAATTGGCCAGCCATATGTTGTGATTTTAAAGTTTTTAGTTAAATCAGAAAGAAAATTAAAAAATAATTATCAAATTACTGAAGTATTAAATAAATATGATGTTAAAACTCCACTCCGTAACTCCCTCCGTTACACTAAATTTCATCAAATATTTCAGTTTAATGACCTTTTTTCGAATTTTTCTTTAGTGATATGATTACAAATTATTAAATGCTATGGTATGGCTGTCATAAATTTTAATAGTTTAAATTAATATAATTAATTTTTAATAAAATACCATAAAGGCATGATTTGTCCTTTTTGTGAGAATCACCCAATATGTACTAAATAATATAAGTTTTCACTTAAATTAATATTTAGAAACTCTTAATTTTCCGAAATTTACTAAAATTGTACAAGTAATTATTTGGTAACAATGGGCTATTTAATATTACCGCGGGCTTCTAGTCAAGGCGCCTCTTGAATAGAAAGCACTGAATTTATAAATTGAAGGAACTGAATTTTCTTATATGTGTGCAAACGAAAACCCACAGAAATTAATTATTTTATCATATTTGAAAAATTAAGTGGGTGCTAGTTACGGCTTCTTAAAAACTATTTAAATTTAAAATTTAATTTACAAATTGAACTGGATGCCAGTTTTAGTTTCATATTCATCGTTTACTAGTTATGAATTTAGCAGTCAGTATCAATGTCTGTGCTAAAGAAATTTTTATGCAAATTTTATTACGAGGGGTGGTCAACTCCAATATTCTTGGAACACTTGCTAGGTATTCTCAGATATTTTTCTGTTTTCCAACATATATTCAATATTATCGATATTCCCTGATATTCTTATATATTCTCTGACATTTTCATAATAATATTCCCGCAAGTATTCTTGAATATTACTAGATAATCTCTAATACTTTTACATATTTTACAAGTGCCTGAAATTAGTGCCATTATAGGGTACACAAATTGAGTTTTTCGCATTTAAAAACTTTTCAAAGAAAGCTTTTTGGAAATACTTTCAAATGTTGTTTTAAATTTTTGTACCGCTTTTTGAGAAGCAATTTCTTACATTTAATGAACATTTTGCAACCATGTTAGCCAAAGTTTTTACATTTTGAAAATTGTTAAAAGAAATAAAAAAA